CGGGAGCTCCCTGTCATCTCTACGGCGCTGGGAGTGCCCCCCTCCCGCCAGGCACATTAAAGCACGTCGGGGCATTTTTACGGGATCGGTTTCGATAATTTTAGCACGACAGTGTTCAGAAGGGCCAATTAGACGGATAGGCTCAGGAAAAGACATATTTTTACAGCAATTGCCGGTGAAACACATTTAATTCGGCCCGTGAAAAAATGTTACCAAGGCTAGATCAACTCAACACCGAGCCGAGCCTCGTCTCCTTGGATTTTTAGCAGTTTAACTGACACCAGACAAAGATACCTTGGATATTTAGAAAGATAAGCACTGGGCAAAATGGCCACGGATCCCGGCAGATACCGTCGCATCCGTCAAATCGATCCGTCACGGATGCGGAAGATTCCGAACAAATGCGAACAAATGCCAAATCCGTGAAGGATACGACAAAATACCCAACGGATGTGATACCGTATCCGCTCGGATAGCAGATACACTATGGATACGATGTTTTATATGCTCGAATCCCTAACTGTAAACGTACAAATACGGATATATCATTTGCACGAATCCTTAAATAAAAACATTTGCAAGGATCGAGAGGAATAACTTTTCATTCACTCATTAAATTTTCTTATTAACATAGACAGGTTTGACAGTGCCCACTCTATCAAAAAAGTACATTGGTGGTTATACGGATCCTATCAAATCCGCGTTCCGTATCTTCTACGAATCCGCTGGCCAAATGAACGACCAGGGATCCTATCAAATCCGCTATCCGTATCTTCTACGAATCCGCTAGCCCAACCCACGACCAGGGATCCTATAAAATCCGCTATCCGTATTTTTACGGATCCGCTAGCCCAACCCACGACCAGGGATCCTATAAAATCCGCTTTCCGTATCTTCTACGGATCCGCTAGCCCAACCCACGACCAGGGATCCTATCAAATCTGCTTTCCGTATCTTCTACGGATCCGCTAGCCCAACCCACGACCAGGGATCCTATCAAATCCGCTATCCGTATCTTTACGAATCCGCTAGCCAAATGAACGACCAGGGATCCTAACAAATCCGCTATCCGTATCTTCTACGGATCCGTTGGCCAAATGAACGACCAGGGATCCTATCAAATCCGCTACCCGTATCTTCTACGGATCCGCTAGCCCAACCCACGACCAGGGATCCTATCAAATCCGCTATCCGTATCTTCTACGAATCCGCTAGACAAATGAACGACCAGGGATCCTATCAAATCCGCTATCCGTATCTTCTACGGATCCGTTGGAGAAATGAACGACCAGGGATCCTAACAAATCCGCTATCCGTATCTTTACGGATCCGCTAGAGAAACGAACGACCAGGGATCCTAACAAATCCGCTATCCGTATCTTTACGGATCCACTAGCTCAACGCATGACCAGGGATCCTATCAAATCCGCTATCCGTATCTTCTACGAATCCGTTGTAGCGTACACTCCTCCAGGTGAGCGGACGTTCCTCCGGTTTTGAGCGTACATTCCTCCAAAATCGGCACACTTCTCACGGCGGCGGTTTGAGCGTACAGTCCTCCAGGTGAGCGGACGTTCCTCCGGTTTTGAGCGTACATTCCTCCAAAATCGGCACACTTCTCACGGCGGCGGTTTGAGCGTACACTCCTCCAGGTGAGCGGACGTTCCTTCGGTTTTGAGCGTACATTCCTCCAAAATCGGCACACTTCTCACGGCGGCGGTTTGAGCGTACAGTCCTCCAGGTGAGCGGACGTTCCTCCGGTTTTGAGCGTGCATTCCTCCAAAATCGGCGCACTTCTCAGGCGGCGGTTTGAGCGTACAGTCCTCCAGGTGAGCGGACGTTCCTCCGGTTTTGAGCGTACATTCCTCCGAAATCGGCACACTTCTCACGGCGGAGGCAGTATCCATTGGCCTGGCCAGAGGAGTGTCCATTAGCCATCTCCAAGCAGATCCTACGGTGGCAAGGCAGTATCCATTGGCCAGAGGAGTGTCCATTAGCCATCTCCAAGCAGATCCTACGGTGGCAAGGCAGTATCCATTGGCCAGAGGATTGTTCTTGCACAAAGCTTCAAACAGTCGATAAACAGCATCCTCCCGAGGCAGGGGTGTCTCCCTTACTAAGCCTAACTAACATATTTGCCGCGGGATAGCTCTGCCGTGGGTGAATGGACTTTCCTCACTTCACTCGGTGGCGTAAAATGAGTACCTAGCTTCGGTTAGGGACGTCCCTCGGATAGGACGTTAAATGGAGGTCCCGCGCCCGTGTTTGGGGAGAGACACACCCCACACACGTTAAAGAACCCACTGCACTACTCGAAAAGAGTAGGGGACCTTCCCAGTGTGAGTGCCGCGGTTCAAACCTTACAGTCCGGTCTTACACAGCTTGTACATGTACGTACATGTACAAAACTGGTGTGTTACGCCTTATTAAGGTGGTTTACCGGTTATGCGAAACAAACAATAAAGACAAAAGATAACAAACAAGTGAATAAAATCGACAGAGGCCTGCAGTGGGATGGCACACGCTGACGTCAGAGGCTGGGCATTATCCTTACAATGTGTTGGCACGAAAGTGGCTGTGGAAAACAGGAGTTACGTTACGACAAAAAGGCTAAACGTTCTGCCCAACACTAAGTAAATTCAGACTGTTACCCACATTTTTGGCTAACTCCGTCAACCTTGTTCACGGAACGGTCCCGTCTACTGCAGCTTCTGGGACGTGACGTAGGAAACACGTGAACAAGGCTGATGGAGTTAGCCGAAAATTTGAGTAAGTCCCAATTAAATTAGTGTTAGACAGAACGTTTAGCCTTTCTATCATAATGAACTATACCAACACAGATGAACTTTCATGGTAGTAGTTACGTTGTTAGTTTGCATCTTTCATTGACAACTGAAATGTGTCGTCACTCGCTCAAATGGTGTTCTAGAACGACTTCATGGTAAACGGCTTAGAAAGGCTACGCTGAGTTTGTGTCGACGATTTCATTCTGACGTAACAACTACTAAATTTGTAAACAAAGGCAACAAACAAACAATGAATCGGTTGCGACGAAACAGTTGCAGGAAGACGTTTTGTATCTTCATCTTGTTATGTGTGCAAGATTGTATCATCTTTATTCCGATCAGAGATGAAGTGAAGTGAGATGAAAGTATTGCTGGGACTAACCTGCATACGGTGGTAACTTTTGAATGATTCTAGACCATTTCCATGCCACGCAACGCCAGGTCTTATAATGTCAACAACAGAAAACTCCGCAGACAGACAAAATGTTGAAGAAAAACGAGGACTCGGTGTAGTGGGACAAGTAACGGGTAGTGGGACAAGCACTGAGGATCTTTTGTCTTCCAAAGAAGAACTACAGACAGAAAGAGAGTGTACTGGTAAAGATTTGGGACAATCAACAAGAGGGAAAAGCCGCCGGAAGACCGTTCTTTTCAACTACATTCCAAGACACCACAGTCCAGGGAAGAGCACGGAAGACGCACGCTGTCTCTTCCGACAGGAAGAAGAACCGTCGTCTAACGTCTGTGAAGTTTTGCCAGGTACAAGCACTGCAGGTGAGACGACATTGACTAGAGAGTGCTCGCCTCATCATGGTGTGGACTCAAAGCGTTCTGATGCAGGGATGGCAGGACAAAAGCCGTCTGATTCTGACCAGCAACATTTCAGCTATGGCGGGAAAGAATCGGACAACCCAGCCTTAAGTACCGGTGATGAGAAAGAGCTCAGAGGCGTGTCCCCTGAGCCTCTGGACGCCCTGTCGCTGCTGGCTGATGTGGGCGTTTCTATGCAGAAAATACCACGTGGTTGCCATGGCAACAGCCCCTGTTTCGTATCAGACGACCCTGGAGTTATCCAGACATTCGTGAAGACCTCTGAAGATGGGCGGAGTCAGCATAAGGACGGTATCAGCATCAGACATGGTGTTTCTAAGACAGTATGTGCGACAACAGGCACTCAGGATGATAGCAATTACGCCACTCACACTCACAGTACACAGCGCGTCAAGCAAAATACAAAGGAGTACACTAGTAACAGAGACTCTAGTGGAAGTTATCAACAGTCTCAGCAGCTTACAGGACTTTCAATACCGTCCAGCACGCCAAAGCCAACCCTCCTGACCCTGTCTAGACCAAGTGAGAGGGACAAAAAGCAAGCAACATCCGCAAAACGCAAGGGCGTATGCTCCAAAAAGTCAGCAAAGACATGTAAAAAGCAGAGGACCGCTGCAGTGAGTGTGAACGCAACAAAAGACGGAGATCAAAACGTTGCAAACAAGGCCTGTCCTGTTTTAAGCGTTGAGAGCTCTGTAGGCAAGACTGGGGCGGTTGACAACAGACTGTCTTTTCGCGAACCCAGGACGACAGCCGATCGCCAAAGAGTTGTCTTTATTCTCTATACGCCTCAGAGTCGTTCTGAAGTTCCCACTGTCACGGCACAAGAACAAGACGAAAATGTACAGATTGACTGAAACAGACAATTATTGTGATTTCAACACGCGCAGTTTTTAATGTTCTATAAAATGTGAACATCTCATTCTCATGATGTAGCGTTTTTATTCTTTCTCCTTGTTTTCCAGAGTGTATTTATGTTGCATTGTAATCTAATAACCCCTCAACAACATATATATGTCTAAAAGACAATCGTTTGTTAGCTTACTAAACAAATTACAACACATTTACATGCGTATATACATGTGCTATCATAATATCACTTAACGATGGAATAAAAAAATCAATACAAACAGCCTGAACAGCCAAGGTTGTTGAAAAGTTACAACAGTCACCAGGACAATAACATCATTGATAGTGGGTACTTTTTATCAAAGCATTCGTGCTAAAAATCACAACATCTTCAAAAGTCGGCGAGCTAACTCTGCAATCTTGTTGCAATCTTTAGTGGTTATTTACGGCAATACATGCACTTAAAACACTGTTTAGAAACGATCGTCACTACATTTGTATCTTAGGAATGCTTCACATCCAACAATAAACATAAAAAAACAATCTCCAGCTCCAAATTACGTGAGTCTTGAAAGTTACAGAAAAACTGTCTTGCTTGGGAAGATGGTAACGGCATTGTCGTTTACTCGAGTGACGACCAACTGCCCACCCGATCCCACAGCGACCCCCCACGGCTCGGTGATGTTAGCGACGGTTCGGACAAACTCCCCGCGACTGGTGAACATGTCCACCCGATGGCTCCCCTTGTTCGCCACGATGATGCGACCAAACCTGTCCATACAGATACCTTTGGGTTCTATTAATATACCTTCACCAGGTCCGGCCGTACCAAATTCGAATAGACAATGCCCGGAGTAGTTGTACACACGGACAAATGACAAGGTAGAAACAAGGTCCTTGGTAGAAACAAGAATGTTTCCTCCATTGTCTGATGCGATGTAGTCCATGTACAGGTTGTCCTCCTTTCCAAAACTGCCATCGAACGAACCGTTCGGCTGGAATTTCAAGATTTCATTAGCAGCTTTCACAACGATTTCGTCACTCTGCATGTCTATGGCGATGAACGGAAACCAATCCAGGCGCTGTACGTTTATCTTGCTCAATGGCTCGCCGTCTGGACTGTACTGGACCGCATACACAGGGCTTGACATCGTCCAATATCGCCCAACGACCCACACATGGCCCTCTCCGTCAATAGCAATGCCACAGGGGTACATTAGGTGTCCATTTTCGCCAGGCACCACCGTTGGAAAGAGGCGAAGGTGAGCGCCCTTCATGCTGTAGACTTGGACACGTTGAAGGACTGAATCAGTCACGAATATCTCATCAGCTTTGGATACGGCCACTCCACTGGGATCAATGAATTTTCCAGGGTCTGATCCCTTCCCGCCAAATGTTATCCTCTCCAAGTGCGAGTCTCTGTCGTAGCTTTCTGCAAAAGGAAACTACAATTTACATCGTCCTAAAATTGAACCTTTGCAAGCATTTTTACTCTAGATATCATTAAAGTAGCCTTGCAGTTAATGTTTGATAGTCCTTATCCCTAGTTATCTTTCCTGTCATCGAAGAATACACAGTATTTTACGTTCGTCTTTACAAGTTGTATCAGTGATTGTTTCAATCGAAAACACATAATCTTATATTGAATTAAGTTACCTGTTGATCTTTTGGAGGCTGATGTCCATGTTGGCAATGATGTCTGGAAAGGGCCAGTAGTGGTTGTTCCCTGTGACAGAATTGATTGTCATAAATTGACGGTACGAATGTATAGATAACCCGGCTGTAGACAATCATTGGAAGCACAGCTTCACAATAGAATAGAGAATAAAATAGAATAGAATAGAGCAGGATAGAATAGAATAGAACAGGATAGAATAGAATAGAACAGGATAGAATAGAATAGAACAGAATAGAATAGAATAGAATAGAATAGAATAGAATAGAATAGAATAGAATAGAATAGAATAGAATAGAATAAAATAGGATAGCTCACCGTTGAGAAGGTCGTGGGGTCAGCCATTGACATTGTTGTCTGTTGTGAACTACCGCAGGAAGGGTGACCAGGGGTGAAGGCGGTCCCCGAAGTCGATGTCGGCTATATAAACAGGGTAAAGATCAAGATGAGTATCATAATCAATTGTCTTAGTCGCACCCCTTTATCATAAACAATGTACACAACTCACGTTGATGAAGATGATAATATAAACAAGAAAACAGTTACTCAAGCAACTTGATAGATATTGAAAACTGTCAGGCGTTTTAAGTAGCATCTACAACTTTCCGTCAATCACCGACGAAGTAGTAGATGCTACTTGAAAAGTCTAATAGTTTTAAAAATCCATCTAGTTGGTTGAATAATTGTTTTCTAATGTACTCTACTGACATAGACCGTGCAAAGGATAGAACAGCGGAAAGTACATCACGAAATACCTTGGCAATGTATTTTGCCTGCCCGATGAAGTATATTAGTGGTAATGACTGGCATCAGCCACAAGGCTAAACAGACGTTGGCCTACCTTCCGACCATCCTCCGCAGCGGTGTTGAAGTATAACCCGGCAAAGGTTCCAAACAAGATGAACGTTGCGAGGATGGCAGATGCTATCACTGCGGCGGACACCCGGCTACACCGTGGGAAACTACCTGTCATGCGTTTCAAGAAAAAACAAGAATTCGAAGATCTCACACCTCCATGAAACCATGATGTTTACATGTGACGTCTTTTCAGGAGGGGTTGAGATTTTTCTCATCAAAAGGGGGAATGCACTGGCTTTCAGCTGTCAGCTAAAAGTATGCATCAATAAAACAATGAGCGCTACCAAATGAAGTGATTAATAAATTTCTCCCTTTGGGATAGACTGAACCTAACAATAGATACCCATTACAACCTAAGGGCACACGGACACACACACACACACACACGGACACACACACACACACACACACACACACACACACACACACACACACACACACACACACACACACACACACACACACACACACACACACACACAAACACACACACACTGCGTAAAAGCGCTAAAACGTAGACGTGTCTTACCGCAAGTTGCTTCTTGGTGAGCGTTTGGCACGTACATGGGATTCGGGTTCAGGTTGTTCTGTCCGTACATCGAATTGGTATGCAGTGTATGATGGACATGTCTAGCAAAGACTGTAGGATCACCATCATTCTGAGAAGAGGGGCATGCTGCCACATTTGTGGTTTCATGGTAAATTCTCGACGTCCTTGTTTTTGTTCGTGTCTCTTCCGAAGACACATGTCCTGTGTCTTCCTGGCTCATGTGCGCAACAGCGTATGGTTGGATATCGTCATCACAAGCTTCAGGGGCGATGTCAAGTGCTTCTCGGTTAGATGCAGCAGTTTCATCTATGGCCGTGTTATCGTCGTCGTCGTCGACGTCCTGGTACCTAACAGCATACGGCTGGCAACAGTCATCACTGTCAACTGGTCCCAACGAGCGTGCAGCATTTGCCTGGGTACAGAAATGGCAGCCATTGTTAGTTGCGTGTTGCTCGATGAAGGCATTACCATCGTGGTTGGCAGTCACAGAGGCGGGACTACCATCTCCTTGTGTGGATGAATATTGTGGATTGTCGAAGGCGGCCGGTTCGAGGCATACGTTCGGGCCGGCCGTCGGGGCGTTTTGGGGATAAGTCGGGTTCGGATTCCTGACGTTCGTAGGGTTCACGGTGTTCGGCTTATATATGGGATTAGGGTCCCGGGTGGGGTCGGGAGGGTGTTGAATGTTTAGCTCGTTCCTGACACCCCCTACAGGGTATTGCGCCTCGGCATCAGTCATGGATGAGTCGCATCCTGCAGTGTTGGTTGAGACATCGATGGTGCTACAGGCGGCTGTTTGTGTTGCCTGGATGGGCTCCACAGTTTGCAACTGTTTCGGAGCAGGCATGTCATCCCTGCACGTGTATGCAGCAGCATATGATTCACTGGTGGCGAAATCCATCGTTCATCGACGTCTACCTGTTTTCAGTGGTAGAAGTCGTTGTAAAAGGAAGCAAATTGTTGATCCAACACCCGAGAAGTCGACCAACCTAAATGTACGACGTGCCCAGAATGTGCGCGAAAACTTGCATATGCATCATTTCCGTTTTACTCCCACACACCTTTACCAGCAGCAATAAACAAAATTGAGTGGTAACTACAAAACTCAGACGCAGATGAAAAACATCATTACTCTTCACAATTATGTACCAATTTCAATCACTGTTGTACTTCCTTCCGAGTAATAGTAATTGTAATTGTAGATATCAGAGTGGGTACACTTTACTTTCATGTATTTTTCATGAGTGTTCGGATGAATTATAACAGTGGATCTAACCATCGTAGCCAAGGGAAATCTGTTATAATATCGTTGAAACAAAACCGACTGTGCCCATTCTTGTATATGTGCAATGTGATGTCGTGTTGTATGGGCGATTCAATGGTAAAGGAATTACTTATACACGCCTATTGTATTAATATGACTGCAAAAAACATGACATGCCTATGGATCAACAACATCTAAAGATGGCGCCTACAGTGGCAGATGATAGGAATAGTCCATTGTTTCTAATTTCCTTAGACAATGTACAATAGTTATCTATCGTTATGTTTTCACTTCATGAAGTGGAATCACAAGGAAGTGGTTTGTCGCTGTCCTTGGTGCTGAAGTCACTTCTCACAGACACTATTATAATAGCATAGCAACCGTTGCCTTGGCAACCGTTAAGAAACGTTTTGATCGTCTGACTGGAATTATACGATGTCAAGAAGGGCCTGCAAAATTCTGACTGCTATTTATTGAGGTCTACTGATTAATTCTGAGGACTGCTGGTTCTAGTGAGTTTGGCTTGACTAGTCCATAAGTTTGTTCTGCAGGTTGGGATGTCCAGGGCGACCCGAGGCGGGCTGCACTCTCTCCCAGTGTTCCCGACTGGCCCTGCGTGTATGTAGACAAACGTGATCTGGGTGAGAAGTTAGATATGGTCGTCCTTAAACATTAAACATTAAACAAGTTCTAGGGCAATGTTTGTAATCATAACAAACACCATCAGCACGTGTGGTGGGTGTGTGACTCTCGCCATACACGGAACTGATAATATTGGGACTATTCCCCCCCCCCCCAAACTTGTACAAATTGGGGTTCAGAACATCACTTGTTTTGACTGGTAAGCCGGTATTTCAACCGTCAACCTTGAGATTAAGAATATAGGATTTGCTTCAAACCAAACCAAACCAAACCAAACCAAACCAAACCAAACCACAACACTCTTCCAGACCATGAAACGCCAACAAGTATATCTACAAGGGTTAGAGAATTTCGTACTTGGCCCTGTTCGTTCCCAGGACACTGCTGGTCAGAGCTCCTCCCCAGGGTACGTGTTTCCTGCTGCCCTCTCCTAGCTTCCCGCCACGTTCTGCACTCAACTGGAGAAACAATTGCAACGTACGTCTAAACATTAACTAAATGTTTAAAATCCCCTGTTTGGTCAACGTTGCACCAGAATTTTGTCTGTTGCAGACGAATTTTTTCCATCACACCATTCGGATGCTAATAATTGCAGGCAATTGTGACAAACCATTGGTTGTTATAAAACTGTAAGAAGCTTGGGACAACCCCACTGCATGATTCTTTCGTTCTTTATCCTTACCTCTTCAGATATAGCCCTGATGTGGTGCGGTTCGAACCCGCAGCAGCCGCCGATGTACCTCACCCCCAGCTCATAGGCGGCGCGCGCGAACTTATGGACGTCAAACCTGGTCAGCTGGCGAGGTTCCAGGGCTGGAAATATTATTGACGAGGAACAATTAGCGAAGGGAGTTTGGTTTACAGTTCATTTGCCTGCACTGGAGGGGAAAATTCCGTACTCGCGTATTATCCATTAGTGGCGGACCCAAAGGCACACCACTAGTCTTCCTGGAAATCATAGTAACATACAGTAACATATTTGTACAATGTAATACAATATAATACAATACAATACAATCATTACATCATTGTTGAAGAGATTCATTTGTCACGTATAGATACAGTTACTAGAGAATTATTTCAGCAGTGACAAGTTTTTGAAGGGTAAGAATACTAATCCAAATTTCGATGACTATCAGTCCAATTGTTCACGGAGTGATCACTATAATTATCATCAACATTACGCAACATGATAATAAGGCCTGGCGGAGGCCCCGCGATTTTCTCCCACCCACCGAACGGGTTCTCCGGCAGCATGCCGTACCCCTCGTGCTCCATCTCCACTTCCGGGCAGTGGAAGCCGACCGGCTGGACCATCAGGAACGGGGACAGGCCCTCCCTCTCCAGGGCAGCCTTCATCAGCGCCACGGTCTTCAGACACGTGGTCGGGTCGAACTTACAGTTCACGCCGATCACGTCCGCGCCTTTCAGCAGGAAATGTAACAAAAAAAAACTCGTTTGAAATCTGAGATAATTCCGGCGGGTCCTTACATCGACATGGTGATCAGTAGATTTACGTTATGAGACACGCAGTTTACCTGGGAGTACAACAGAAGACGGCAAAACAAAACAAGAATTGCGCAAGCTAAGGGCAGCAGCTGTCGTGAGCTTGGAAAGGCTAACACCAAAAGCAGCGAGCGCATGTTGACCAGATGTAGAAATGATTGATGACTTTCTCACTCTGGGACTCAACCATATCCATTACAACCTGCAGAAACACACACACACACACACACACACACACACACACACACACACACACACACACACACACACACACACACACACACACAATCATACACACACACTAACCAAAAACAATACATCCACTTTTCCATGTAATTAACGAAAGTAATTCAGCCCACCGGCCTTAGCCATCCTGACGGCGCATTCCCCCGGTGGCACGCCGCTGTTGTCCCCGACAGGCCCGGTACGCAGTGTACACGCTACGGGCTTCCCCGTGGACTTCAGAAGCTCAATAGCCCACTCTGCCTCCTCTATGTACCCTATAAACTAAAAAAAGGCAGGTGGTAACGTTAAGTTAACTCTGCCGAAAATAGTGCCATTCACATGCAACGACTTTTTGTGTTTTAACCAAAGACCACGAAACAGTCAAAACGAATTCGTGCGATTTTTAAAAATCTTTCAAAGCGATCTTAGTACTATAAAATGCCTCCGCCCCTGAGGTGTCAACAAAAATGATCGTATATAAGGAATTGGTCATGGTATAGTCAGATGCTCTCCAAATATACGTAGGTAACCAGTAACTAGTCTTCATCTTTCTCCACGTGACTTACCTCAGCCAATAGGAAGTCTACATCGTGTTCCACGAACACCTCCACTTGTTTCCTGAACTCCCGCTGTACGGTCTCCTTCCCCCGGCCCTCTGTGTAGGACGGGGTCGGAGACAACGCGCCACAAATGAGCACGTCCGACACCCCCACCACCTCCTTCGCAATGGTACAGGCCATGTGGTTCAGCTCTTTGCACTTGATGACAAAAAGTGGCGAACAAAACAGGAAATAGAAACACAGCATTAATTCTCCTCGGACTAAGCAATAGGCATTGACACAAATATTTGATAAAAAAGAGAATTGAAAACAGATCAAGAAGAGTTCTCGAGGAAAGTAGGTCTAGAATTTAATCCAATATTCAACAACACCTTCCCACTGCTCTCTGTGGTTTAGGGAAGTTTGACTAAGTGATATCTATATATTATGTTTACCGACTCGGGAAAACATATTGTTTTTGCTTTGTTTCCTCTTCTTCTTCTCCAAACAAATAAGTTCAATGACCTGAACCAGACGTCTGTCACCAATGTAACTGATGTTGGGTTACATCATATTGCAATCTTATAGCAGACTCCTGTCTGACCATATATATGAATGTATTTGAGTAAGAATTAACAGAGCAATCCATATGCGAAGGTAACCATTATGCATTTGCTTTGCAAATGTCACCTTTCTAGTTATAATATAATATATCATCAACATCACCAGGTTTTATATGACGCTGTAGAGAAGTTGATTACCGTGATGGTAGCGCCAGCCTCGTGTCCGGGTAGGTTAAGTTTGTCGTCTGTCGAGTAGAACGTAAAAGCCTGCACCACATCTGCGCCTGCGCGAATGTACTCCCTGTGAAGCTGCTTCACTGGAAAAGCATCGCGTAGTGATTTGAAGGGCTAGTCAGAAAATTTACTTACTAGTTTTTGAAAACAAGTGTAGATAATTTCTCTCCCCATCTTTTCCAAAAGCAAAGCATTGCTCCTTTTTCTCCCCAAGCTACCCCCTAGCGTACTTCAGGTCTCGGACCGGAGTTTCCCTCCGTATTTCGAGCAATTTGACACCCTCAGCCCGACGGGCTGTCATTTCTGTACTAAACGCGGGTCGGAATTTTTCACTCTTTTGGTGGAAAGGGGTGCCGTGCCGCTTATCAATACACTTGATTGATATTTTCTGCGCCCAATTTATTTAGGGGTAAATGAGGCACATCAAAGTACATTTTGAAAAAAGGGGTAATTTTTTTCGTCATTTTTAACCATGGCTGCATGGAAAAAACGAATTTTCCCAGGGTAACGGCTTAGTACTCGAAGAAGCTCAGAACCTAATGTTTCCAAAATTTGAATTTAATTAAAATCGATGCGATAAGTTTATCGCTATCTTCGATGGCCCGAACACACCCAGAACGCATATAGAACGTACCATCCCGGCGGTCAGGCGAAAAGGCCACATAACCATCCGCGCGGACGAATACCAGGAAGTCTTAGCTGGACCACCAACATTACGCCACCTATAAAGGCTACAACTAACAGGCTTTTCAGAAAATACAAAGATATGTACACAGATATTACGATTTCAGGGATATCGCGGCCAAAACATACCATACAAAGTCACGTTTCCGGCGATTTACTGCGCACTTACTTAGACTCTGGTCAGAATTAAACTCCGACCCGGAACCTTCAATGGATCAACACGTTGATTACATCCAAACGCATTGCTAGAGTACTAGTATGCGATAGACAGCGCTTAATATCTTTTCATACTATCACACAGAAAAAGCATTTTTTGTCAAAATTGGCAAGTTACTGGCTACAGAAGTTAAAGTGGGAAGTCATTCGACTAATGGATAATAAAGGATGGATTAATGCAATATGTTGTTATGGCTGGGTTACAGAACATGGCGAGTTAATGATTATATCACTAACCTGCGTCGGGATGTTCCACTACAACTTCAGGGGTCCAGGGTCCGGCCATGACATAGGTACGTTTCTCCAGGGTGAAGACATAACTGCCGTCCCCCACCACAGGACCCTCTGTCAGACGCTCTAGTAAACCCTTCTTTACCATTTTGTGTCCTTAAGTATTAAAAAAAAAATTACAGATGAGGTATTTCAGGGCTTTAAACACTGCAAAAGATGTGAAAACCGTCCGTACATGCTACAGGGAAAAATACTAAGTTATGAACGAAATGGACGTCCCGAAATATTACAAAAATACAGTTTTTAGACCCTTCTTTACCATCTTCTGTCCTTAAGTATTTAAGAAATATTACAGATAAGGCATTCAGGGATTGAAACATTGCGAAAGATTTCAAAATCTTTTATGTCTGACACAGCGAAAACTATTATGAACGAAATCCGGGCGTCCCGAATGTTAGTAAAAATTACCGAGTTGTTGTACGCTAGAGAGGTATACTTACGTTTTCCAAAGGTCCAGCGTTAACATTCAAGACAACTAGGCACCGAGCCAAACAGGTTTACATATGTACCTGTCAGAAAATAACTTGCGTATTTGCGAAAATAACCGGAGGGAAATGTAACTATGTGCCTTGGCAGCCTGTGTACCTCTGTAAAGCTTAAGGTCTTTAGATATGACATTTTAATTGATTGAAGACATTGTTAGAGACAAAAGTACAGCCACGCTTACCTTACACTGTCCGCCTCTCTGTCTAATTGTCACTGGCAATGTGCAAATGTTTTTCTGGGGACTATATTTGCTTTGGTTCGACCAAGGTTTAATTCAACCCTCTTATGCACTTTTCGAATTCCCTCTGCAGTGGTGGCGATGTTTGGGCTAGATCACGGTTCGGTCAGTCAACAGTATAAGACATAAGTTATGGCTGAATTTCGCTTCGCAGGCCTTCACTAAACCGAGTGTACTTACCATTGCACACAAACAACGGTATGAGACAGTTGCCCTCCACGCTCCATAGTCCACGTTTCATTGAGGGTGAATATACACATGTGTAACTGTTGGCTGTCATTGTTTGCATAAATGCACGTGGCTTTGTCTTGGTCTGATGCAAGCATAAGCTCGAAAAGTGACAGAGGCTTGTTTTTAACAGCATCAAGACTTCTCAAGAAAACATTATAGGGTCATTATAGTTCTTTATTTCTCAATGTAATGAACGATAATGAATGATTTTTAAGTCTGCAAAGGACTCAAGGCGGGTGCATTTAGAGTGTTAGTAATGTTTGTTCGTATGGTTTCTACTTTACTTTAAGTACGCCACACATTATATCTGATACATCTGTGGTAAACGTTCCCTAAAGAACAATGTTGACACGGATGTCGGCCATCATGGTTGATAGAACTCCTGTGTACGTCACTGCCCCATGAGCTTGGGTTGGAGTGCGGGGTGCCCCGGGCGGCCTGATGCCGGCTTGACGGATTTCCAGTGTTCCTGGTTGGCCCTGGAGTAGGGAGGAAATACAACGAACTTTTTAAAATAATCACAACTTGAATGACGATGTGTGACTTAAAAAATTGGTCACCTTGGTGACTTGAATTGGACTAATGCTAATACGACTGGATTTGAGAAGGGATATTTTGTAATCCGCGGCTAAGCAAGTGTGGCCAAGAATTGCATCTTTTCTTGTTTCATTCAGTCTTTTCCTTCTATCTGCTTGGCTTTGATTCATATGGTATCAAATGTATCCGTCGCCCAGCCACGTAACTCAGCGCAAAATTTAAGACAAAGACATGATATAACGTTATGTTCTTACTTTTTCACCAGTACTCTGAAGCGAGAAGAAGTCGAATTCACTTAGTTGTCGTTACTTGTTACGTTACCTGTATACAATTCTTCTGTTGTAGGTATATGAGTACAATAAAGGTATTCATTCATTCATTCATTCATTCATTCATTCATTCATTCATTCATTCATTCATTCATTCATTCACTCACTCACTCACTCACTCACTCACTCACTCACTCACTCACTCATTCATTCATTCATTCATTCATTCATTCATTCATTCATTCATTCATTCTAAAGAAAAATCATTACTTCATCCTGTTCTGCAGGAAGGTGCTGGTCTTCAGGGCCTCCCCCCAGGGGATGTGCTTGGAGCTCGCCTCCCCCAGCTTCCCACCTCGCTCAGGGGACAGCTGTAAGGACAAGTCAGAAGCGTTACTTCCGGGAAGGAATATTGTTTTCGGTGGTGTTAATTGATAGTTTGTGTATTTGTGCTGAGTCCGCAATGGGGCCCTAGGAATTGTGTCAGTTAAGGTTGAGTTTCACTAGATGTGACGAGGCCACGAACTCGCCTTTGGCCGGGATCTTACTGTGGTTTGGGGCAGTCAGGAATGGGAAACGTCGTAAATGTGTCATAACTTGTACCTAAGAAACTAATACAGGCAGGATGTTTAATACAGGCAGTGTTGTTTATATTGTACCTGAGTGTAGAATTCATAGCGTTTTCTGCCGAATCTAACAACACGCATACGGGGCATCTCTTAAATTCAAAGTCACTATAGTTGGAATAGTGACTGAGAATATGTAGCTATAGAAATCTCTGAATGCCGTAACGGTTACCTCTTCAGATATAGCCCTGATGTGGTGTGGTTCAAACCCGCAGCAGCCGCCGATGTACCTCACCCCCAGCTCATAGGCGGCGCGCGCGTATCGGTTAGCGTCGTACCGAGTCAGCAGGCGGGGCTCTAAAGCTGTTAGAAGTCAAGGAAAAAGGTAATATAACAACATCCCTGTATTTCGTGAAATATTATAGTCAATAATTCGTATATTTTTACGGTCTGTACGTAAATATAAGATAATTTTCATGTCAAATGACTTCGTTTGACATCGGCTTTTGATTCAGGTAGTTGAACAACCAAGAAAGGCATCTTCTGTGTAATATCTGGAAGGTAGTCTCGATCTAGTTGTAGCTCACTGAAGAGCTAATCTGGACCCAATGGTCAAGACAGAGAAGACAGGCCCTTGGCTGAGTAGCCGGTCCTCCCCAATAACCCAATATAATTGCTGGCCAATAGATACTGCCTTGCTACCGTATAATCTGCGTACAATAATATAATATCTTACCGAAAGGGCACTCCGGTAGCATGGCGTATCCTGGATGCTCGTTCTCCACCTCCGGACAGTGGAAGCCGAGCGGCTGGAGCATGAGGAAGGGAGACAGGCCCTCCTTCTCCAGGGCTGCCTTCATCAGCGCCATGGTCTTCAGGCCCGTGTTGGGGTCAAACTGGCAATTCAGACCCACCACGTCTGCGCCTGGTAGGGGAAGGTTTCTTGAGGTTTATTGATGAACAACTCTCCTTTAGCTGCCTGCCCGTGGGTGACAGTTATTCTTCCAGGAGAAGATGGAGCACATAAAAACATCACAATACATCAATTACATGAAGTTACATTACATCTGGTTAAATGACATTGCAGGCCTCGAAGTTAACTCTTCGTCCAAGAATTGCCTGTCCCAAAATAATTTCCAACTATCCAAAATGAGGATGGACTGTCCCACTTTTTAATGATATAGCAATGTGGAGAAATGCGAACTCACCATGAGAGGCAGAGCTACAAGATCAGGTTTATGAAGTAAGTTTAAACATGTAATTTCCAACACAAGAAATCCGACTCCCCAAATTACAACCCCAGTCTTTGACAAGAAATGGGTAAGTCCAATTTTTGTGTTGGAAACTACAGTTTAAAACCTGCTTCATAATGATTTCTACCAACACAGAAGAACTTTCAAGATAAAAATGTAAGGGTATTTTGTGTGTAGAATTCTCTCTCACCGGCTCTGGCCATCCTGACGGCGCACTCCCCTGCCGGCACGTCCTTGAAGTCCCCTGTGGGTCCGATACACATGGTACAGGCCACAGGCTTTCCCGTGGACTTCAGCACTTCAATGGCCCACTCTGCCTCCTCAACGTGATTGATAAACTGGACACGAAAACGGGCAGGATTTTCTTAGTATCAAACAACATACAAAGTACAAGACACTGTGGTGGATAGCACTAGCAGACAGCTAATTTTAGCCTCACCATTGACAAAGAAGAATACAATCAATATCAAATAACAAAACAAAAACAACAAATGGACAAAATCTTTAGTTTTAGCAGCTCTTTAAAACTTTTGCCACTGATAAGAGAGTAATAACGAATACATACATAAGATTTCAAAATTGTCATCATAATGTATTAACGGAGATCGATATCGTCTAAGTAAGACATGTAGTTTAAAATTGTCAAACAGGTTATCAAAGGTAATAGCATGGCTAAGTATAGCTATCACTGTGCCCTTACTTCAGCCAGTATAAAGTCCACGTCTTTCTCCATGAAGACCTCCACGTGTTTGCGGTACTCTGCCTGCACGGCGTCCTTCCCTTTGCCCTGCTTGTAGGACGGGGTCATGGTCACCCCTCCCGAGATGAGCACGTCCGCGTCCCCGGCCACATCCCGCACGATGTCGATGGCCCGCTCGTTCAGCTCTTTACACTGGAGATGAATATATGCTATAGGTCAACCAAAGGACTACGACCTCTTGGTATCATGTTACAATGTACTTCCCACGCTGACTGTCAACCTACTCTGTCCGGAGAACCAAGAAAAACAAATAAACCCACAGACAACCCGCCCAAAAACAATGCTTCCGTACGCAGGGAAATTTATAACGGCAAATTTGGTTGCATAAGTTTAAATTCTGGTGTGATAAAAAGAAATGAGAAGTATCAAGTTCCGGCCATACCCACTGTGGGCGGTAGCTACGGCACTGTGGAAGAGGACTGATTACGACACCTGACCTCAATAACACGTTACGGACCCCAGCAAAGGTGTCTGCAAGTCTGTATCGCCCCCCGTCCCGGCTATGTTGCCCTGTGTGCAATGTTTATAACAGGCTATATTCGAAATGATAGTCTAATGCGAAACGACGACTTTTACTACTCTACTAGTACCACATGGACATAATATAGAAAATCTAAAAGAAAGAAGTTTCGAACATAAAAGTGAATATTAAGCACATTTCATGGTTTCCCGTCCCCGATTTCACAACTGATCTGCGTACCGTGGTGATTTTTCCGGCAGCGTGTCCGGGTAGGTTCAACTTGTCGTCTGACGCAAAGAACGTGTAAGCTTGGAGGATGTCTGCGCCTGCGCGGAGAAACTCTCGGTGTAGCTGTTTCACTGAAGGGGAAGTGGAAATAAAGTTTTTATAAAAGATCTGTGTCAAGAAACTATAAACGCCTTGTGTTTATCAATGCCAAAACCTGCTCAAAGATAGATTACAAAACAAAACAAAACTGAACTTCCCTTTCAAAACTTATCATATTTCAGTCCATACCATAGGGATTGATGAAATATATTGTTTTTACTCATGTTTCTTCTTCTTCTCCTCCTGTCATTTAGTTAAATGGATTCAATTTCTTAATTTTTGTGCCAAATGACCTGAAATTTGGTATGAAGGTAGAGTGGGCCAATACCCCCGGAAGTTTTCTTCATTTTTTTTTTTTTGATACGGGCTTTAAAGTTTTTTGTTTCATTTTCATCCCAAAACTGTACATTTGGGGTCCTGGAGACCTGGTATGAGTGTGACTTAGATACATACCAACAGTGCATACCAACAAAATTTATTGTAACCTTTGGCATACACCGTGCCTGAGCTTGGTTCTGGATAAAGTACCGTTCTGAATACAGCAGTCCTTACCCGCCTCTGGATGTTCTATGACGACCTCCGGTGTCCACTGGCCGGCCATGACGTAACCACGCTTCTCCAGGTTAAACACATAACTGCCGTCCCCCACCACCGGACCCTCAGCCAGACGCTCTAGTAGACCCTTCTTCACCATCTGTTAAAGGGACCCAAAGCGATGTCAGGACAGTAAAACTAGCCTGGAGCCAGCGTTGGTAGCTTTGGCCCGCTCCACAAGATTAATGTTGGGGTAACGTTCATGAATCGATTGGTCTATTTGTATTTGTAAAGCTTTTTGCAACCCTGAGCTGCGTTTACATAAACTTCACCTGAATAATCCAACTCATCAAATAACTGGTACAAAGTTAATCACACAAATAGACGTAACCACTTGTCTCCCCATAGATTTATGCGTCATGGCGACTTTACCCACCTTTTACCACAAAATGTGGATCTGTCTCTCCCCTGCAACGGTATTGTGTGTTTCTAAGTAGATCGGTTCCTGACTGAGAACGACTTCACTGTTCCTGCAAGTCACCGCGTCGTTAATATATAGTACTGCTGATGCAATCATATGCGCCAAACGTGACCTAGTGCCAACGTCAGGCGTTGTTAGTCACCAATGGGATCGTATCTGGGATGCTGACGTGTGCTTCGAATTTTCCTATGATCGCGTAACGGTTTACCGTTTGACTAACTTTTCAGTGCCCCCCCCCATGGTTTGACAGCCTCCTACACCCCCTGCTATGTGTCCGTCTCATGTATATGATATGTATTTTGTACCACGTATGTGTAAAAATATGAGTATAGATTTATAAGGGCTTTATATATTTGGTCTGACCCTTCTCTCTTCCCTCATGACCTCAATGCCGACTCTGACCTTCAACGGTGAATATGCAATTTTCCCCCTGGTCATGTCTATCAACGTAGTATTAGGACATGATTTGCCGCTATTCAGTTCAGTATTGATACCCCCTGCTATGCCCTGCCCAGTTGAGCTTGACCCCCATTAGCACCCATTGCAACATTAACCCCTCCCCTTTTATTTTAGGATAGTAGTGCATTAATGTAGAATCAGGCCTCGAGTAGCCCCGCCCCCTGATCAGTGAGTGTCATGTAAAGGTGAACGTCCCACAGGCTGCTGAGTCACCGTTCAAAGATCATACCGTAGCCGCCTGAACGTGTATGAACCAGAATTTTACAAATAACAAATCTGTATGAATAGAAAACATGCACTGAGTCTATAATCTCCAAGCAGATATTTCGGTGGCTGCAACACTGTATCAAATTGGCCAGGCAGTATTAATTTGCCAGACCATTAACATCGCTGCCGTAAAAAAGGGACCAGGGTACCAGTACAGAAAAGAGAGCCCAATAAAAACGCTAAGTAGTCAAAAATAAGCCAAAGCCCAAACCTAAGGGTCATAGACAGGGCAACGTGCTACGGGCTACTATCCAAACATCGGGCATAGAACAAACGCCCTCCTGACCAGCTGCAATCAGTTATTTATTGAACTAACATGTCAACATTCAATCTTCCAGTATAGTGCGCAAAATTTGCATTTCGTACAGAAAAAAAGAGAACTTTCAAGGTAAATCACACATACCTCTTCGCACTATACCGTATACGCTTCGCTCAACGAAGACAGTCAAGTCCCTGCAAGTCAGTGTTGAATGTGTGACTGTGTCGGGCTACTGTACATGTACATGTACATGTACATGTAAGTGGGTCGGTATCAAAGGTCGGCGTCTCTCTCCGGAGTTTCAGGGGTGATAAACAAGCCTAGAGGATAGGCACTAATTAAACGAGCTCACTGTCTATTTTTGTCTGTACTTAATTAGTAAAAAAAATAGAGGCATGCGCCTTATGTAATTGTCGTTTCTTTCTTCAATGTGAATTGATCAGAAAGGTTCCCTTGAATGGATTTTTCGCCTGAGAATTGGCTACGTCATAACACGAGACGGCACGTGCCCAGAACATAATTGCATATGGCATCTGATGGATGATTGGTCAACATGAACGTTGTATCAGTACTAGTAAAGCCTTACTGATTTGGCAATAAGGATGACATCGTCTGGGCACCCTAAACTGATGCGAGCGTGCGGCAAAAATTGGGCTAAAAAGTTGCCTTCATTCAATACATGTATTTTCACAAATGCCAAATATTTTGAAAAGGAAACACTACTTACACTGTTGACCGAATGCCTCAACTAAACTTGCCCCAGGGCTGCAGTACTATTTGGCAACACAAGAGGGCGCTCGAGAGTGACACGAAGAGCCGCTATGTGATCTCTCGCGGGCCCATCATCATCAGTACAGGCTACAATGGGGGTAAACATGGGTGTGTTAACTAGTTATAGCAGCTTATTATCCTGTAAATACTTACATATGATATAAGTCATGGTACCACCAAATAATTCGTTTTACAAATAAAACATTCTTTTACGAAAAAGAATAAACCAGAATAGCCTCAAGTGCCATGTAGTAACCATTGTTTGATTGATACTCAACACACTGACAATATGTATAATGTACAGGAACGAAGAAGTGCATTCAGGTCAAGTCATATACTAGTACTAGCCATGCCAGTCAGCCCTGTCCTTGGTGCTGAACGCCAAATGACAGTGAAGGGAAACATGGTGATCCATACTTCTAGCATGTCATCAAGCTTTCTTTTGATTCTTTTTTTTTCATCTTAGGGTGTTGATTACAATTTTCTTCCGCTTACAGCTGATAGTGCAGACAACATGGCCCTTGTTTTTGGAGGAACTGCCGGGGTCGTCATTTTCGCTGCAGTTCTTCTGGCTCTCAAAGTGCGGCGCTCAAAGAAAGTGCATCAAAAATGCCAGCTACTTGTTAACGCCATCATTTGACCGTCAGCAAAATTGTTACCTAGATTGTTGTGTGCTTTAAGAGTTGCGCTTCTTCAGTTTACTTCTGAATTTAACTGGCAACTACGGCGTTTGAACACACACAACCACCAGTGGATTAGCCCCCTGTTGGTACAACTGTGAATCTTAAACATTATATACATGTACAAATCTTTATGGAAAACTGGAAGGATTGACCAACATTTGTTGTCTCATAATACAACTGAGAGTGATATACTAGTATACTGTACTCATACAGTTTGACTATATTCATCATCATCATCATCGGTCGGCTGCAACGCAGGCGATCACAAGTCCATTCCACGACCGCCGGTCAGCAGCCAGCGCAGCAATGTTGTCAGGGCTCAGGTCACCTTCCGTGTCCCCCAGCAGGTTCTGGATGTAAGTCAGGTAGCTCATCCTCTGGCGCCCAGGACGCCTTCTGCCGTGAGGTGGGACGTAGAGGGCGTAAGACCTGAGTGGCTCCTCTACTGGCATCCTCAGGGCATGTCCAATAAAGCGCAGTTGCCGCTGCCTCACTCTGAAGATCAGAGGTTGTGTGTTTGTGGCTTTGTATAGTTCACAGTTGCTTACGTGGTCTATACGTTTGATGTTCAGCATGATTCTGAGGCAAGATGTAGCAAATGAGTTAATCTTGTCCTCCATGTCACGTGTTAGCACCCAGGTTTCGCAACCGTACAAGAACACCGACACACAGGTTACATTAAAGAGCTTGATCTTTGTGGCAGTGGGGAACGTCGGATTTCTCCAGATCTTTTTGAAGTTTCCAGAAAGCGGTCCAAGCGAGTGCCTTCCGCCTGGCCAGGTCAGTCTTACTGGATGCCATCATTGATCCTAGATATCTGAAGTCTGTTACATGTTTGATGGGCTGACCATACACTTCCAGTGGCGGCTGTGGGTTGCAGTTGATGGTCATGTATTCGGTCTTAGGAACACTTATGACAAGACCTAGTTGTTCTCCTGCAGTAGCCGTTCTATTGAGTTGTGATTGCGCCTTAGGTATTGATGCCTCAAGCAGAGCGATGTCGTCAGCGAAATTTAGATCGTTTAAGATTTTGGCTGGGTGCCTACTTGACTGGCGAGGGTGTGTAACTACACCAGAGCAAGTATCCTCAATGGATTTCTTCATCAGATAGTCCACAAGTATGATGAACAGGAAGGGGGCAAGGACATCCCCTTGTAACACCCCTGTGGTGACTTGGAATGGTTTTGTAATGTTGTCATCCACCATAACAGCACTTTTTGAGTTGTTGTAGAGTACGCTAATGGCGTTGACGATAGTGACCGGAACACCATAGTGGCGAAGAACAGCAAACATAACATCCCTGTTGATGGAATCAAAGGCCTTTTTGAAGTCTATAAAAGTAACTATAAGTGGCAGTTGGTGGGTTTGGAAGGCTTCAATGATCCTGCGGAGAATGTGTACTTGCTGCGCACAGCTTCTACCTTGACGAAAACCTGCCTGGTTGTTTCTCAGAATCGGGTCTACGTGTTCCCTTATCCTTGTCAAAAGGATTTTGTTGTATACTTTAGCCGCTATGGACATTAGGGAGATACCTCTATAGTTGGTCATGAGGCTGAGGTCCCCCTTCTTAGGTAGGGGAACGATGACATTAGTAGTCCATTGCTCTGGAGGAGTAAGTGTTACAAAGACTTCGGAGCAGAAAGCGTGTACAGTTCTTGCCATTGCATCCCCACCCCCTCTTAAGGCTTCTGCAGTGATTGCACAGTCCAAGCCAGGGGCTTTGTTGCTTTTCATAGTTTTGATAGCATTGACTGTTCCTCGAGTGTGGGTGGGTCTACACAGATGGGAAGATCTATGTCGGCAGGTGGAGGGAGGACAGATGTTTGGGTCCGCCATCATTGTTCAGTAGGTGAGAGAAGTACTGACTCCATTCCGTCAGAAGCTCGCTATCGCTAGATGGAGGGGTTCCGTCTCGCTTCTTCACCTTTACGTTGGCTTTCCTGTTTTTGCCTGAGAGTTCATTGATGATCCTCCATGTGGAGATGTGATCACGTCTTTTGTCCGCTTCTTCAAGGGCATCTATTTGTTGTTGTGTAAAGGCAAGTTCATCGTGCCTATAGGACTCGTTTAGGCTCGAGTTGAGTTGCCTCCATATCTCTTTGGTGCGACGGGTCCTTGCAAGCAGATATTTCTTCTTTGCCGAGTCTCTCTGCTCACGTAACTCCAGGGTCTTGTCTGATAACCAGCTGGGCATTCCACAGGATTTGTGTTTTCCCACCACCTTTTCCGCTATCTCTGCTACAGCCTTCTCCCACTGGGCATACCTCTCGGTGATTGGTGTCGTAGCATCATCACACTGAAGGGCCCTGAATCTGTTTGAGAGTTTGGTCTGGAATTCTTCTTGTACTATATTAAAACTTTGTCATTCTTTTCTTTTAGTTCATTTATTTCTGTACAACAAAGTACGACATGTATGTGACAAATAGCAATTATAGCATACATGACATTTGGTAAGAGAAGGTACAGCATGACAGTTCATTGAGTGCCTGATTCAAACTAAACACGGCTCTAATAAAACATCAATTCTGAACAAATTCCAGAGAAGTTCAGCCTAACATAAAACGCAATGTTACATATACAGTAAATTATAAAAGTGAGAAAATGAATAAACGAATTATGTATCTTTGTAATGAATTTCACTTAATCTAAAACTGCATCTGTGTGGGAATTCATTTTCCAATTTACATTTTTTACAATTCAAAACTTACACTATACACTGCTATACAAAAGACACGGCTCTCAACATAATTCAATCAATGTTTTCACAATTCAAAACTTACATTGTATACTGTTATACACAAAATAAAGCTTTAAACAAAACATTTCAAATTTCAACAGACGGCTGAAGTTTTACCCTAAAGTTTTCTCTAGTAAAAGTCTACCATAAAATGTTACATATCATACAGCGGATTATAATGTGGAATAGCAGCATACTTTTTAGAATTACATAGCATACATGACTATGGCCTTATGATGGTTCATATTTTCTAATTAAACAACACTATGACGTAATTTCAACTCTCATAATCCGGCCTTGAACATTAAAAAAAACAGTCATTCTAATGAGAAATCACTGCCTTTTTTATGTGGCTAAAATTATGGTACTGGGCAGAATTATCAAAGATGACATTACATAAATAGATATTAAAACTAAGTACTTTTCGTACACAGTACTTTTTGTACATTTTCCCCTTTCCTGATTCAGAAAGTTCACATCTGGTATTATAAATTGATTCTCTTTGGTAGAAAAATAACTTCACTTCTCAGGCCTACAATCACAAGCTCACAGATGTAACATCAAAAGTCACTCTTTTTCTCTTATCCTTGTGCTTCGAGCCTGATTTCTGTTGTCCACCCTCTTGGGTCAACAAAGTGTGTTTCTTAGACAGCGACTGTCTCCACGGTGATGGGTCTGACGTTCTTCTCAGGAGGGTGAGCGGAGGAATCTGAAAATCTTCCTCGTCGCTGTCTGTAACGTCTTGGATGTTACCGTGAGGATCGATCACGAGGTAACCACTGCTGCAGGAGTCGCTGTCGCTAACCTCCACAAACCCACTGGACGCAGAGGAGTCACTGGGGGAGAGGAGACAAGATATGTTTTTTGTAAATAGACAAGGTAATGTTTACTTTAATTGGGCTTTGATATTCTGTACTTTTGGTTGATTGTAATCTTGACCTTTTCCCTGCCAACTAATGCTAGGCAGCAATACAAGCTACATGTATGTGCACAGTTGAGCGAATACCAGGGAGGCTAACCTCCACAAACCCACTGGACGCAGAGGAGTCACTAGGGGAAGGAGACAATACATGTTTTTTTTGTTGTTGTTTAAGTTGATTGCTGGAGTGCAAACAATGCACATCAAATTTACTTTCAAAGGAGAAAGGATATCCTGGGTTTTAATACTAGTACTCTCCCCCTTCGGTTGACGTTTCCCCTGCAAACTAATACTAGAAAGCATTACAAGCTACTCCTAGTATGTGCACAGTTGACTGAATACCAGGGAGGTCCAGCTGACATATGCATATGCTGTAGTTGCTACTTGTGAGTTTTTCAGAAGATTTATAGTGACTTGAATGGTAAGACAAGGGGACAAGAAATTAAGATCTTACCAACATGTCATCCTGTAGGGAAGCATTTCAGTAAGGACAGTACAAGTGGAGAGATTGAGAGAAAAAATGACTTTAGAACAATGCACTTTGGAACACTTAATAGAACAATAGAACTTCAGAACACTGGTCCCTATTCAGGGCATCTTTTCTCAGTTTGATGCAGTTTATTTTGTAGAAATTCCTTTTTTCAATTTTTGACCAATTCTGTTCAGAGAAGGCAAAGTTGGAGGAGATCACCATCAAATATCCCGAAACACCTCACTAATTCCGTTACACAGAAGTACTGTCCCTTACCTGGATGTGTCTAGTTGGTTCTCCTCGGCTCCTAAGATGGTTTCTACCACAGACTTGCCCGTTTCTCCCTTCTTGACTCGGATGATGTCCTTGGGCGGGAGCTGGGTTTGCAGGAACAGGTGCAGCATCGGATCTGACAGGACCTCAGGCTCTCGCACGATTCTATAGGGGGAAAATATTGATGATAGATTTATATAGACTCTGTATGACTATATGTTAATGGATTTTGAGGACTTAAATCATGTAACCCGTATGTTGTGATATTTTTTGCCTGACCCCAACCTCTTCCTTCATGACAGACCCCACTGACTCTTAAGTTACTTTTCTGCATACTTCTAGACCAGAGGAAACAACAAATTTTATTTTGGCAAGGAGGTTAAAATCTCCTTGGTTTTGGTAATGATTTAAATCATGTTACCGGTTTCCTAGAGGCAGGATGGAAAAAAAAACTACAAAATAGATATGTTAACAGACTGGGTCTCTACTTACTTTTCTGAGAAGTCCTGCAGCAGTTTCTGTCTCTGCCTGATGAACTCCTTGTCAAACTGTCGCCCAAATATCCGCAGGAGACCTCCACTGGGCAAGGGTGGCAGATCAGACCTGGGGTGGGGAGGGGGGCACAGAACACAAGTTGGAACAAGCTTCCATGTTACATGGGGATCAACCCCCAATATCTCAGCTCGTATGTGAGAGAAGACTAGAGTTTGCTGGACATGCCTGGCAGCGCAAGTGGGAGATAACATATGTTATGTTCTATGGGAACTAAAGCATTGCCGTGCAAGAGTAGGAAAACCGTGCTGAACAACTGTGCAAGGATGCATGTTGCACTGCAGATGAAAGAGCTGTGGCGGACAGGGAGGATTGGAGATGGAGTGTCATGCTCATCTGCACAGCCCCAGTGCAATGTGTTACGAGTAAGTACTTGTAATAAGTCAATGGCAATCTTCACTTACAATCCGTGCGTCTCCTGTAGCTGTTCCTTCAGCCACACAAACTCCTCGAACCTCCGTCTTACATGGGAAGACTTCAAGATGAAGGAGATGCTGTTTGTCTCCAGGGCGATCTCGTAAGTTGTGATCCGACCCTTCTCGGCGGTGAACGTCTGTGGATCCTGAATCACCAGATCGATGAAAATCTGTGGGGACGGAAGAAATGGTAACTCACTCACTATCCAGTTTATCGTCTGTTGTTCCCCGTCTTTCGATGGTTTGACATGCTGGCATTACAATACTGAGGCTTGATGGCATCCCGACACATGCCTCTATCCTGTGGGTTGAAGTTATGTAGGTTCAACTAGTGGAAGTCCTCCCTTACATTGTCAAACCATTTCTTGTTTAGTCGACCATGAGGGTTTGGGCCTTCCACATCCGGAATAATTTCATCAGGTTTGTAAGAGACTGTAGAAGGTTCTTTATATGTAACCTGCGTGCCATCCTCCGTAGTTTCTGCCAGCTCCCTATTGTAGCTGGCTACCACGTGACATTAAGGAGCTGGCAGTAACAACAGAGGATGGCACAAGGCTAGGGTCTTTATTCAACAACCGGTGGGTTTTCATATCTGACGTTTTGGTGACCCTCTGTCATCTTCAGTGGTAAACCTCTCGGAATAATTTCATCTGATCACAATTGGCAAGAGACTATAAGAAGGTTCTACATTCAATAACCAGTGGGTTTTCATATCTCACGTTTCGGTGACTGCCTGTCACCTTGGGGCAACAATGGCTGTAGAGCAACAATAACTCTTAGGGCAACAATGACTAACGGTAGTGTTAACGCAACGACTGTTTGGGGACTAGTGTCAGAGCAACAATGTCTGCTTCTGATACTGCACCTACCTGAAAATGTGCAATTGAGATACACATTATGATATGAAAACATTTACAAAACCAAACTGTGATTGGGCAAGGCAAAACAGTACATCCTCTCAGTATCCTAGCCTGACTAAATCGCCCTCCTGACGGCCGCCCGCCCCTAAGGTTGCCGCCCCTTGGGCTGGGTCATTAACTCCAAGCCAGAGAGCTTGTGTGTATACACAGGCTACTCAGTATCCCATCCCTGTCCAAGTGTTTCCCACCTTAGATCAACATGTGTGGGAACCCTGGCCAGTTCATATTTGAGGAAGTTCCTGTGAGTACAGCTGTGGGAGACTCAGATGTCAGGATTAACACGTCCCCTGCACATCTCTCACACACATGCTGATGGAGTCAGGTTTCCACCTTGAACTTACATGTAGGCCACACCACTTTAATTTGTTGGTTCTCAGCATTTTTTTTTTAGAAAAAAATTTCAAGTGACAGGGCAAAAATAAAATAGGCCTGGGCATCCAATGGTAGCACCAAGTGCTACAATAGGAGCCATAAAGTCAACATACCAGGCTGGTTTGTAATTCATAGAGTTCATGGCAATAAGTAATGTCAAGAACATTATGTAATGTCCTTGGCAATCTCAGAGCAGATCCTGGGGTAGACAATTGTAATGTGTATTTGTTGACCAGTCATCTTTTATGACAGTCCAGTACATCAACATTTGACACCATGTGGACACTAGGAGGGAGGGGCACTAATTTCAACAATGGTGTTAAACTCCATTAACAGCATTAAACGTCATTAACAGGAATTAGAGTTTTACATTGCAGTTTTCTACCCAGTGCTTGGAAACAATTAAATATAAGTCATTAAATGTGTCAACTGTAGCAACGTGTTACTACTAAGTCACTAGATCTGGTGGTAAAAACAGAACTTACTAGAAATCTCCTAATCAATTAACTAATTTTTCAGACCCTCTACTGTCATTTTGTTATTCACATGTGTATTCGGTTCATTATGTCAATAACAGGCATGACTTTGGTCAAAACCAAAACAGACCTGGAGACCATCTTGCCTGTCATCACGATAAGACCATCCCCCCTGGGCAGTTACATAATTCTGCATGCCGCCCCCTATTGTCCTTTGTTATTAACATCATCATGTTACTATCATATGGTAAAAACTTAAATAAACTTGCTGCACCCCATGTTGTCTGCAGTGTGATAAGACATCCCCCTGGACAATTACCTACTTCCCCACACCGCCCCCTACTGTTATTCTGATCTCTGTTCACACCTTGGCAGAATTAGTAAATACCTGATGATTTGCTCAAAAGTAAACAATGCACAGAAATTGTACTAATAAAGTGTATTGACATTGTTCAAAGCTACAGAGTGTGTGGTGGTGGCAGTATCCCGAGGGCACACACAGGTTGAATTGGGAATAAAACACACCTGCAAAATCCTTTTCTAAACCGTTTTGTACATGAAATCTTACCCTAATTCTGTAAGCAGCTTAGAGTTTACGGAAAAAGATAATATCAAGTCCTCCATATGGTAATCCTTGGTAATCTCAAAGCAGATTTTGATTTAAAGATCGCGATGTTTCTGACCAGTGGGTTTTTATGACAGTTCAGTACATTAACTGAACAGTGGACACAGGGAGGGACACTTCTATGCTAATTTCAACAATGGCTTCACTTAACTGCAATTTGAAGATAAGGTGCCATTTTGTTGTGTCTTTTTGAAAGCACTTTACACCTATTTCCTCACTTGACACAGGTGAAAATGAGTACCTACTAGTAACTTTGGTTAGGGACGTCCTCTCACGCAGATAGACAGCCATCCCTTGAGCATTTTATAAAATTCCACCACACTTGTCGAAAAAAATGTGAGTGGTTCAAACCTTACAGTCAGGGTTAACATCTTGAAGAGGTGATAGTCTCCTGTTATGCCAATCCTTTTAACAAATGTGTTAATTCTTCATAACTAAATGATAGGATGATAATAATATAAATAAACAAACATTGTACAAGTTTTGGGTACTAGACTATTAGGAAATGTTACAATTTTCTACCCCTACTTGGAGATAAGGAAATATGAATGAAAGCAATGAAATACAGATGTGTGAAACACATCAATTATGTTATCAAGTCACCAGAACTTAACTCTGGTAAAACAAACTTCCTAGACAGTGGACCCCATATTGTATTAGTGTGATAAGAAGACCTCCTGGTCAATTATCCACTTCTTCACACACCCCCTACTGTTATTCTGATCTCAGTTCACACCTTGGCTAAATACCTGATGATTTCTGATGCACCATCAATATTTGTTTAGGCCACACCAACCTAATCTGCTGTTGTTGTTTTTTCTTTAGGAAGGCCGCGGTAGCCAGCAACATTGGGGAGCTGGCAGAAACTATGGAGGATGGCACCCAGGCTAGAAGTCAATATACATACCAGATTTTTTTCAAACTTCTAATGAAATCACTGTATGGATAGATTTAAAAAAAACAGTAAGAAGGAAGACAAAATATGACAATTTGGGAATTGATTGCGAAGCTGATTTTTAAAGCTGGGGCTGGTAAATGTCCACCCAATGTGTGATATACACATTGCAGTTTCCACCACATGTTTTGCAGCATCAAGAAAGACAAAAAACAACTAATTACAAAAAATAACGAGGTACAAAAGCATTAAGGTCTTGATTAAGTAAGATAAAAAACAACAAGTCTTATCAAGAACACTGAACAGACAATTCTAATCTAGTTTCTTTTAGGTTTAACCACTATAACTAAAGTGCTGCTTCCTCTAATGTGTAATACATTATGCTGAAATTTGTAGCGCTCGTAATATTTGATTCCTGACAATTTATTTGTAGCCTGGGTGCCAGATCCTGGCACTTAGAGAAAGAAAATTTACTGATCCTGTCGACCAACCGGCAGTCTCACCCAACACGCCCTCTACTCTCCCAGAGTTTGACACACCCCTCCTCAAATTATCTATCCCTGCACAAGCAATAAATTAGACCCCAGGTGCCAACACTGGGATTGGGGCATGGGGCTTCCCCTGGCCGAAGGGTGCAATGCGTTGCGCGGGGTCTCATGGTGGCATCCAGGCTAGAACTTGGTGGGAGCCTAGTTGAGTTAGGTGGAGTAACTCGTACTACAGGCCTAAAGAGAGCCCACCCAAACCTTTGTATACCGGACACCAGGCTAATTTATTTGTTGTCACCTCTTCTTCAGGCTGTATTTTTAGACAGGCTATTTTCACATCAGGACATGTTCCAAATATAAGGAACAAGGAAGGCAATTAATTATGTGGACATCATTCTTACCGTGGCCTATTTGGTTTAGGGGTAACAGGTCTGAAACCTATAAGTCACTGGTATAACGGACATGTAGTTGTAGTTCCCTCGATTATAAATTACATACTATGTACCATCCTCCTAGTATTGCTATAATCCCATACCTGTTAGAACTCCTCTAAACTATAGTTCAGTTTGTCCTACAATGGAGCTATAATGTGTATTATAATAGCTCCATAGTCCTACCGTACACATATAGATCATGATAACAATAGCTTCACAGGAGAACAATCCAATCAGCTTGGTTTCGTGTTTGTATAATGAAACCCCTAAAATTTACATTGGTTCCAAACCCTGACAATAGCAAGAAAAGACTGCAGTTCAGTATTTGGATCCTCCTTTTGAGGAGAGGTCCTACTCTCCAAGCAGAGGATGGTGAGGAAGATTGTTCCGTCTCTATATGTACACCATTTTCTTGGTGGGGGTAGAGACCAAAAAACGGGGCATATAGAGAAGCGTAACGATCTTCCCCACCAACCTCTGCTTGAAGAGGGGAGTGGTCTCACTCACAGCCTGTAAAGTGTTCGGTCTATCAGTTTTGCGACCCATACTTATGTAGAGATTATCTAGAGGTCACTCTTTTGTACATAAATTAAACCAGTGTCAGGGATGGATTTTATGCATGTGATCAGCCAACCAGTAACGCATGGAGTTTGGTTTTTAACCTCCTTAGTTCAAGCAAGGACATTGTGTATAATGTCCTTGGTTCAAGCATAGAAAGGCAAAGATACACCCAATGAAATTTTTAACCTCCTTTGATGCACCGAAGAACTGTCAATATTTGTAAACATTGTAAACATTTGCAACCATCTGTTAGGTTTTCAGCTTAGTTTCATTTAGAAAATTCTAGGAGCAGGAGGCCTTCTAAAAGTAACGTTATTTGAATCAGTCTATTCTATTTCATTGTTGAAAAGTAAATGGTGATTTTCAAGGCTTCCATGGCTTCAGCTGCCCATATGTCTGTACGTGTGAGGCCACCCCTTTTGGCACCCCATATATTATGTACATGTAAAGTAAACATCCAAATGCCTGAATTTAGGTCACATCTACATACCGTGTGACTGACTGCTGTAGGGCTTGTCCTTGCTTAAGTATTATAAAAAGATTGTAGTGAAGTGTGAAGCTCTCACTGGCACCCATAACATAGCACAAGCTGCATACATACAGATACAGACTTTACATCTAGTGAAATTTAACGTTATACTCAGTAACGTTATCTGTGGTAGATACAGTCGACATTTGACATAACACAGTAACGTTACAGTAGCCTCGCACACACGTAGCCATGTGACGGTTGTAGCACTTGCTGCCTTGTCGTCTGGATGACTCCAATATACGTTTGTGGTGTAAAATATAGTTTATAAAGAGACGCCATCAATAAATATTGGAACGTAAACACGAAGCAAAATTTGCATGTCACGTTTTTATAACGATTTTGGCGGGCAAGACAACTCCGACACCAAAACAGTTACTAGGTACAGAACGAATAGCCATGTTTCTTTGGAAACTGTAAATCTGTACACAATACACAGTTAATGAGATGGAAAATATGAAAATAGAGAACTGAAACACATGACGTATAACTTCCTTCTCAAAATACGCCTAGGGCAACAGACATGTAGGGCAAGGAGGTTAGAAGGTAACATGCGATTCGTCACCAAAACAGAACTACGAACTCACCATATCCGAGGGAATACCGATTCCCCCGTCCATCGTGACACTGAACACCATATCAGAGATGACGCCAGGGTAGAAACACAGTTTTCCGGCTGATCTAGAGGGTAAAAAGGACGGTTTTTCACGAGAGAACGTACAGACTGACCCCGGCGCCTGTGTTTCTGTTTAGGAAATGGGTCACCTATGCAAATCGAATCACCTGATAATCATGTGATGGACTCAACCATTGGAGCTTCCTCATGGGGAGGAATAGTTTTCACACACTTTTCTTTTTAATCTACCTTGAAATGGGTTGGAATTGGAAAGAAATTAACCTCCATGGATTGCCAGAATATTAAGTAACAATTTTTAATGGTGTTTGTCTTCGTTGAAACGATGGACCAGCGATAGGCTGTAATAAAACAGTCCACTACTGTAGTGGACAGCCACCTTGCGACAGATATATGAAGTGCAGTAAGACATATGCTTCTATATAGATCCGAGCAGAACTTTTATTCAACCTAAAACTAAAAGTTTGTAGATACTGCAACTGACCTCTCACAGTAGATAGTACACAGCAAATAATTTGCAAATTAATTCATATACACGATTTAAAAAGCACCATTAAAATACAAGGCTCTAACACGATCGATGTATTGGCTCTAAGATAGTAAGAATGCTGATTGAATAGATAGAAGTAACGTTAGGTCAGATTACAAGTACATGTGTATATATGGTATACAGTATACATGTAGTAGCAGTAGTAGTAGAAATAGGAGTAGACTGTTTTATTTCTGTCAACAACAACGGAGGCTGAATTGCGAGGCTTTAGGCCTTTTGCATTGCTGCACATAACACGCATCTAGTATACAATGTCTTTATCACAACCAAACGTAGTAAGACGACAGCTCCTTTCGTATTGTTTGTGAATGTAAATTAATATCACGACACGTTCCTATGGACCGATATAACGCTTAGAGAACTAGAAAGGTAATATTTGCAAGGCAAATGCAAAATGTTTACCTTCGCATATGGCCTGCTCTGTTAATTCTTACTCAAACACATTCATATATATGGTGACAGGAGTCTAAATCCCTCCTGCCATAAAATTGTAACATGATGAATGCAACATGATATTACTAACCCAACACTGGTTACCATGGTAACAGACACAACATTGGTTTAGGTCATTGAGGTCACTGTTTGGGGAAAAAGAAGAAGAAGAAGAGGAAGAAGAAACTGAGCAAAAACAATATGTTTTCCTTCGGTAAACATAAATAGATGACAGTTCAAAATCATTAGTTGCACTTTGAAAAATGTATAGATGTGTCGGGATTAATCTTGAATGTATGTTACCAAAATGACTTCTGTAGTTTGAAGAATTTGGCGCCATTTTATAGAGCAGACTGGCTACTCAGGGATTCGAGTGGTTTTGGCAAAGGAGGGTTAACAACGTTAGCACTTCCTCTCTGATCTTCAACAATCGAAAACACCAAGAAAAGGAACCCCTCCACCCCACCCAATGTGATCAACATGTATAGAAAAGCCGTGCGCAGTGGTTCTGAATCGTTGTAGGCTGTGAGAACGCCTGTCGTCATTGCAGCCGTGAATGGGAGAAACAGTAGCGCCCCCTGCGCCAGAAAGCGGTACTGCACGATATCGGCAGTAACGCACCTCATAGCAATGCGCAATAGGAAGTAGAGGTCGACTAATGTACAGATCAGTAAAGGCACTACCACGGCGACTGCCATTTTTACAGGGTCGTCGATCCAACAGATTGGGAGACTATACAAAGGCTGGGATGCCCCCATGCGGATTGAGTCATCCAGTGCAACGTAACCTCCCGACATTGCCATCGGAATGAGCACAATCACTAAGAGATGGCCAGCTGCTTTACAGGTACCGCCTCGCTGTAGGATAGACAGGTGGTGGATTGTGGCAGTGAGAGACAGGCCAGCGGCGAGGCAGAAACAGAGCGTGCACACCAACATGGCTGTACAACAGGCTGCTGACGGAACGACCTGGCCCACGACCTGACTGATATGAGCCAGAAGAAGGCATGCCAAGAGCCAGATTTTCACCGCGGATTCGGCGCGTGCATAGTGGCGAAGGCCGGATATGAGATATAGGATAGAAACTAGTGCAGAAGCACCAGAAACAGTGTTGATTACAAGAAATGTAGCACTTTGCTGCGGGAAATTTAAGCTTTGAGTTGCCAGATTATCAGTGGGACCAAGAAACTCATAGGGAGACTTGGTGGGACTTGGAGTTAGTTCTGGGAGGTCGTCGGGATCGTTCTCGAAAGAAGCTTCTGCCACTTTTACACCTGTATCTTTGCGAACTTGTTTCGGAGGCACGAAAGAAATCTTGCGACAGTTGTCGCGAAATGGGTCGTATATGAACCCTACAGAACAAGACTCCGTATGGTCGAATACTTCGAGCTCAGTGGACGACATCTTGCTTTGCAAAATGTTTGAGTAGTCGAAGAGGACCGTGATTGTACCGAGAAAACCTACAAATATAGATTCATCCGCTTTACAAGAAGTATCGAAAAGGTCGTCCTCGTCAGCGTAACACTCCGCACAAGCAGAGTTTCTAAATGGTTCAGCCTTTACGTAGAAAACAGCCGTTGTGTTGCGGCACTTTTCAGGATCACAGCGCAGGCTTGGACGAGGCGACGTGGTGTGGGGAGGGAAACAAAGTCGCGCAGGGGCAACGCTAGGTCGGAAGTAGTGCTCACAAATGTCGTCTTTATCTTGCAGTATGGTTTTTAGTGGGTCGGCAGGTTTGTAGCCACATTTGGCAACCATTTTCCAGCCTATCATGAACCTAGCGTTGTTACACAGGGCACAGAAGACGTTTCTGTAGTTGGTGTCGGTGGAGTTGTCGGTGACTGGAGCGTGGAGAAACATGTCGACGTCGCCGTTTCCGTACGACGTCTCGCACATCCCCCTGACGACGTCGTCTTCATAGCCGGGCGGGCAACTCGCGACCAGCCAGAAGTGAGAACGGAAGTTCCAGGGGGCAACGCACTGCAGCGGCTGGCAAAGGAGGGAGATACATTAGACTAGTATTAACAGTAGATGATAAATGTTATATTGTTGCAATACGTAGATATTTAGTACTTAGTGCTAGAATGAAGTGTTTCAGCTTTGTATGTTCATATCCTCTAGACCACATATGGTCACATGTGCATTTTATAGCCCAGCTGGGCAAGAATATGCAAAGATTATTCAATTCTTTCCTTTCGTTTGTTCATTAAAGGAACATTACAATGCAGCCGCCATACTCGAAGACAAAATTACCCTACCTGGATGACTTCTGTTGGAGTGATGTTGACGTCACCTGTCCCATCGTCCTTTGCACCCCGACAGACGTCTTCAAAATCGTCACAGCAAGTCTCCGTCATGTTGCAGGAACTTGTGCAGTTGCACGTCACTTTGCTGGATAGTGAAACCGAAAAGAAACGGTGAGCTACAGCTGCGAACACACAAACATGACCGAAAACAGTACCCTTCTGTGAAAGGATATCTCCTAAACAGATAACAGGGTAACAGAGGTAACGTTAACAGAAACCAGGAAAATGGTGGGATGTGTAGATCCGCCTTCCAAGGCCTTGTTCTAGGCACTGCCCTGCTTTAGGCACAGTCAGTATTCCTCTATGGGACCTTTACTTAGGAAGGGACATGGCTTGTAACCTAAAGGCCTTGTAACTGATTATTGTACCTGACGACGTTCTCCTTGTTACATCGTCCCTTGCAGGAGTCTGGCTGTATCACATCCGGGACATCTTCGTTCTCTGTTACGTCATCACCACAGGCGGCCTCGTAGTTATGGCAACAGTCTCCAAATGTCCTTGAAAAAGAACGATTTGGGATATATGAAATGCTCTACTCGGTATACATGTCTGATTGCACTGATTGGGCCGTCCTTTAGCCTGCCTTAAAATAAGTATAAACTGTCAATAGATAAAGTTGACCATTCTAGGCAAAGATGATAGAAATGGCCAGCAAGACCAGTCTTTAGAATGACAACTGAGAAAGATGCAAACTGAAATCTGAAATTCGCTCAAAGCATTGCATACAATGTTGTATGGGCGTTACATGGAGTGAAACCCAATTAAAGCAATTGGTCTGATGTGTCTCTCTTTGTTCATCTATTTGTTTGTTACCTGCAGTGTATACTCGTACCAAGTGCATCAAAGATGCCAGGTCATATAGGAGTAGAGTAGACAGCATACCTGCATGCCTTGTCACAGCCACAAGAATTTCCCGTCATGCCTCCGCACACCCTGCAGCTGGCAGTGGTGGAACACTGCAGTCCTCTCAGCTCAGGCTGGGAATGAGATCAACACAATCACTTACGTGGGTACACGTATCGAGCGCCATATTGGATGGTTAAAACTGGCAGCTACCAGATGGGTTATCAAAGGATCAGACAAAATATCAACGTTAACAGACGGATTAATTAGAGAAACAAGACACTCACCTCTGGATTCCAGTTTAGGTGACCTGGAACACAACAGATTTCCGCTTTTAGAGGTAACATGATGTCAGGCACGACATCTCTCCGACAATCTGGGGAGAAAAGATAGGAGTCATCAGGATCCATGAAAAAAAATCACATACAGTTCTTTCATGGTGTTATTCTGAGCTTTTCATAATGACGGGAACGGAAAGTTCTTCGTATCCATTGTTTTGTTCGTGTCACGTTTCATTCATTTCCTACTAGCTTCATCTCATCTAATCTCATATATCCATTAGTCTAATTACTCAAACGTTGGGGTGCCAACTCACCCAAGCCAGCGGGAAAAATATCCAACCGCCGCGTAGTTCCGACGTCCCCGATGACGTATTGGCCCCTGTGTCCGTTGTTCCACATGACGTCATATTCGAATGTATCACCTAGCAACATCCGTGTGGTAACCGTCCCAAACGCCATTCCACCGTCATCCTTACAAGGAACACAGAATTATGGCATGAAGTTTAAAATATATCTACGAACGACTTTCTGGTTGTTTAAATTCGGCGAACCTTCTATCGGGCGATCAGCAAATTCAATCGACGGTCGTTTGAAGCAAAGTCATTAAATACTACAGTGAAAAGGATGTCAAGACGCTAGAAATTCAGCCAATAATTGTAAAAGCACACTTTGATCCTACACTGTATAGACTCTCTTGTAAGGTATTATCAAATTAGTATGATGAAAGTTAATATCTTATGTTTGTTAACGTTATATAGCAGTAAATGCCATGCGTCCATATGTCTTACCTCGTACAACTGTTGTGTAATAAAGGTAATTGTTATTAACATTGTGACAGTAGATTTATCTTAGCTGACAAGTTACAACTAACAAAATAAAACATGTTCCCTACCACGCTGTTTGTCTGGTTCCAGGTAGGCCCAGGTACGACACCAGTGTCCACCGGAAGCTGAAAATTGCAGAGATACGGCGAGTCTGGAATAAATAAAAGGGGCAAGGTGATGATATGACTGTAAAACATATAAGACCCCAGAATCTACTGAACTGACCAAAATATATGATCAACTTGGAACCTTTAAATCATAAACCTAAAAAACGGCCAAGGTACTAGAAGCCTTTTGCTGAGCGAGCAAGTAAGTGAGTGAGTGATCTGAGTGAGTGAGTGAGTGAGTGAGTGAGTGAGTGAGTGAGTGAGTGAGTGAGTGGAGTGAGTGAGTGAGTGAGTGAGTGAGTGAGTGAGTGAGTGAGTGAGTGAGTGAGTGAGTGAGTGAGTGAGTGAGTGAGTGAGTGAGTGAGTGAGCGAGTGAGTGAGTGAGTGAGCGAAAGCTTTCTTTTGTATTGACGTCTCCGGCCATAACCACACGACAGCTTCACGTACAGGCACGACAAGAACTAGTACAACTTCTCTGACATACCTTTGATGCCAAACAACTGAAATGTCCTAATCCACGGCTCCCAGCCCGAGTAGGTGGCGGTTACGGTGACCCTCCAGTAGCGACCTGACGCGGAGAAACCTCCGTAGTACTGCGGGAGTGATGAGTTCGTCGCCACGTCGGTGACCGTCAACACGTGAGTCCACCGGTAAGGGCTACCCGTGGCGGAGACTTGCAGGGTGAACGCCTTGACGTCGTGGTTCCAGTCACAACCATAGTTCACAATCCGCAGCTTCTTCATAGTGTAACTGACATGATAGTCCAGAACGACAAACCAGTCATTGTGGTTCCGAGGTGTTCCCAATGGTTTCCACTGTTTTGATAAAGATACGAGTATCCGTTTAACTCCATTCCACATCCCTGTCTTATAATGCGCAGAGCCGGTGTACTCTCGAACTTCTGGCATGAGCTCGGAGTGTATTATCCAGTGGCCGGGAGTTGCAACTGTTTCCTCGCCCACAACTTCCCACGATGGTGGAAGGAAAAAGGTGTTAACATCAAAAGACAATGATGGCATCTTGTTTGGGTCTCAAATTTATGGCAGCAATTATCAAATGCAATCAAATTTTGGTGTAACAGTAATTGAGTTGCATCATACTCGTTATTGCCGCAATATCAACTCAAACGGATTATATACACATCATATATATATAGCTCTGTATATCATTGAATGAATAAAAAAATAACAGATTATATGGATATGGACTGAAAGACCTCACATAGAATCGCCTGAAGTATCATCATTCAGTTAGAAGATAAACTCACCTTTTGAGCCGAAAAATTCCAGCTTTTTCACATCAACTTCATCGTTCTGTCTCTGTCTCATGGTGCGGTACATATATGTACTGTTACACCACAACTCTCGTTCATTGAGAACATGTACAAACTCCAGCTTCCAAGAGCGGCCAGCGCCCGAAAATCCAGCGATGGTTTCTACCCCGTCTGCGCTGACGTTTTGCCGCTGGATGGTCAGAACGTGTGTCCACTGCACTTGTTGTCTTTGCGCATGTGGTCCGTTTGACGCGTAAAGTCTGTACGCTGTGATCGCATGCTGGTTTTGCTTGTACGTTACACGGATCTGACTCAGTTCGTGTGAGGCTCCGAAGTCTATGATGAAAGGTAAGGTCCGTTCTAGGCGCCATGCGGTAGACGGGTTCAGGCCCAGAGCATCCCGGGCGGTACGCCGTGACCCTTGCAGGTTGTTTTGAACAGTCCAGTACTGAGAAACTCGCAGCCACCGGTGTCTGCTACCTTCTAGGGAAAGATTAGATACAGCACTGGTAGGTTAACAAATGTCTTGTATTGACTCAATGAATATCTTTCTTTCTATTAATACATAATATGATGCATTTGTACTTATCTGTACATACCTGATTCAGATGTGTTCTCCGTTGTGTTTAACCTTGTGTTGTGTAGGTTGACGATTGTAGCAGTGGTTGGACTCGCTGTAACACCGTCAGCTGCTTCTCTGCCGCTGGCTGTTGCCGTACTTGCACTACTTTGTCTTGTGATACGTGCTGTAGGAACTACGTCGTTTTCAACAGTACTTGTACGGTCGGACACGTTGGTTCTAGTTGAATGCTGCACCGGTACTTGGGTAGTTGCAATTCTGTCGCCTGAACCTTCTTCATAGATTATGTCGCTAATTTCTCGCGTTTTTCGAGGCTTGAACCGGGAACTTGAAGCGAGACTGTGGCTGGAGGTTTTTCTTTCTTTTTCAGGGAGATGTTTTTGTTGAGTACCAACTCTTTCCGTGAAGTATAGCTCTTCATCGTTGCCTTCTTGATCTGTTGATGGGATTTTGCCTTCATTAGCGATGGGAATTACCTTCTGTCGAATCATCAAATCCTGCTCGAGGTGATCATGCTGATTGAACATGTCTGAAGGAGACTTCGTATGTGAGCTCTGCGGATCACTCTGCTTGTCTACGGTATCAAAGGTGCCGGGTCCGGTGAAGACAACGTGTGACTTGACGTCTTCTTCAGTCGACTGTTTTTTGCTTCTCAAGACATCGTCTTCTTCGATTACGAAGATGATTTCTTCGTCTACCGCACGGATTCCCTTCTCCAGGGACGTGGGGTGGGTATTCTCTGGGCTTATGTCGAAGAACTCTGCTTTGTTGTTGCCAGGTTTTCTCTTGACGACGAAATAAGCTTCGTCATCGATGAAAGAAGAGGCCTCTTCTCCAGCTCGTAGTGATGATTCTTCGCTTGCTGGTGGGAGGTTAGAGTCCACCGGCTTGTGATTGGAATCAGAAATCTTCTCTCCATGTTTCTGCAGTATATCATGGGATCCTTTGTCCAGAGATGAAAGCTTCCCCTTCTCGTAATCGTTTGTAGAAATTTTGTCCGGTTTATTTGCATCAGGTGGTTTACTTATTTTGGCTTCAGCATCGGAACTAGGAATGTTAACACGATGTGAAAGAAGGACATCAACGCTCCTGTTGTGTAGCGACCCTTTCACGTCAAGCTGAATCATGTCGAAATTATCTTCCCCCCTTTTCCACGAAACGTCTGATGAGCCAGCCTTGTTGAACTTGACTTTGTGAGTTGAAACGCCGCGCTTGTTGGTAGCAGGAGGGACCAGTTGCCATGTCACAGGGTAGTTGTTGTTGCTCTTCTGATCATTGGGACGATCCCGCCGCTTGCGGAGCAAAACCTTCTCATAATCGCGGAGAAGTGGCGAGACTGGGGTGCTCTCTGATGTAGCGAGCTGTGTTTCCTCTGTAACTGGATGGGTAGCAGAGAAATCTTCTGCAAAGTACTTTGAGATCAAGTACAAGGTTGTGGAGGTCAGAAAGAGGAGGAGAATCGGGGCCAGTGTGCGATCTTGTCGACCTCTTGTCCTCTGCTGTCGACCTTCAAAGACAAAGGAAAAGATCGCAAGCATTCTTTGATAGAATATATCATTACACTAGAAGCAAACACGAAGAATGTTATTTAGTTGCCATAGTTTTACCCATTAATCGTTTGTAGTACTATTTAGATACACAGGAACAATCACGACTGATGGTAGCCCCCCCCCCCAAAAAAAACATAGGTCTCTCAAAGACAAATGTAGCATAAAAATGTTCTGTCACTACCTCTTCGTCCCATTGTCAGATCCTACGTCTTCGTCACTGAAGAATTCTGCTGGGATTCTGTTTAGTTGACAACCGTAAGGAAATATATAACTCTAGCTCATGACTATAGTCACGCATGCAATATCGCGTATCAGGTCCTGTCCAAAGTTCTATTCTCCTTTCCATTAAGATAATTGTGTGCAGTGATAACAGATCCTTGTTAAGTCGTGATTTCCCTAACGAATCTCGTGTAATAAATCTGGAGAGATTAAGTTATTTCTATTAGCAGAATTGGTGACATAGAATCTGACGGTTCTGGGTTTGAATTCCTGTCAGGCTCTACTGTGATGTCCTTGGGAAAGCCACTTACACCTATTTCGTCACTCCACTTTAATGAAAATGATTACCTAGCTTTGGATAGGACATAAAGCCATAGGAGAGTCACGTTAAAGAGCCCATTATCACTCGAGAGCTCATCGAGTCGAACAGAGGTCCTTCCCGGTGTGAATGGATCAGCCAGTTGTTTTCCTAACAAACGTCTAGAAAGAAAATGTGAAAATCCGAGCTGGTGAGAAAAGCCGATATGCGGTCGTATCGATGGCCTCTGATAATTTCAATTTGACCCGCAGACATTTCATATCTTCCTTCTGCAAGTATTGCATATTATCAACTGTCTCGGTGTCCATTAGCCTCTACCAGTCCCCAGATACGGCTGGAAAATAGAGAACATGTCAGGGGATTTGGTCCGCTAAAGAGTACAATTTGTCGCAGTCGGGTACTTCTGATGTAAGGTAGAGGTTTGGATTCAGTTGTGTACACTCTGCACCGTGAGACAAGCACGAAAACAAACAAACAAACAAACAAACAAACAAACAAACAAACACACATACTTTTTCACTGAGGTAATTATTGACTTCATGTACAGGCCACATCGTAATTCCGCTCCGTTTAATGTATAATGCTACCACTGTCAACGCCTCCGAGTGTAAAAACTGACCTTTGACACCCGTTGTTCAAGTTCGGAAAGGCATTTCCCCCAGGGGAATTCCAAACAGTGGACGTGGAGGTGGCAGACGTATACTCCACAGCTTACAGTAGGTGGCACGTAAGTGAGGGAAATGGCCGGAGCAATAAGTCTTCTCCGTGTTGGCCTTGGTTTTCTGTGCATCTTAGAGAGTCATGGACAGATGATAGGTAAGATGTTGATGTCGTCTGGTGGTGGAATTAGATGTAGTTCAACAGTTAAAAAGCTAGGCCATACGAATCATACTGCCAAGAGAGAAGTGCCATCGAGAGTGAAACAATTGTCTCGAAAAACCATGTCTGTTTTGAACAACACATTATCCTTTGAAAATTTGAGCACCTTCACCAAGAAGGATAATATTGTCTCCAAAGTTACCGAAATTTTCGGGTCCATTTCAACGTGTTTGTGTGTTTAAGCAACTGTACGACGCCATGATACATGCAGTTGGTATGTGCGTGGGTGTTGTTCTCTAGCAAGGGCCAATTGAGTTGTAAGCATTAGGGAATAGTCTGTATAACTTGGCTGGGCTGGGTTTGCCTTGGAGAACAAATGCATCGACTCTTGTCTGATATTACAACATGTAATTTATAGTCTCCAACGGACTACAGCAATGTAAATTGGAAAATTTAGTCAATTGAGTAGTGTGATTTGCCATGGGAGTTTGGCTACCCAAATGGCTTTCTTTTGTCTTCACTGTTGGGTGTTGCCCTTAACCCCAGGGTCGCTCCTACACCTTCACTCCCACACCTTCGCCGAGGGGGTCAACATGTTAAGTGGCTTTGTGTGTGTTTGTATACACATTCTACTACACGATGTGAAAGTTTTGAACTAAATATCTTGATAGCGACGTCGTATGTACAATCATTTACAATGAACTATGTACTATGTACAACAAGAAGATATCTTGATACAATACAATACAAAGTCAATACAATACAATACAGTATACAATGTTGTGGATCCAAACTCTTAAATGTGATATGTAGTCTACATGTGTTTTCCCACAGAAAGCTCAGTCCAGAACAAGACCGTTTATGTGAATGAAAACGTGGAATTGATCTGGACCTACCAACTCGGAGCTGGTATCACACCGCTGTTTGAGAGTTGGAAGAAGCTACCTGACACAGTAATAGCAAGCAGAACTGCTGTGGATGTCTACATATCATGGCGTTATAGGGTCAGAATCATCTTGCCAGAATATTCTATTAGTTTTAGAAAATAACAAGCATTGTGAACATAAGCTACTAATTGGTAGCTCATGTCCACAATACTTGTTATAATTTGTTAACAATTAACGTTTACTTAATTGTTGTAGATTCCAAAAGCAGAGATTCGGAGAACTAAGATGTAATAAGTACTAAGTGAATTGTACAAAATTTTCTGCCATGTGGCCTGATCTTTGTGATGTTGTACTTTGTGCGCACACCATACTTACAAACCCATCATGAATTAGTGCCACCCAAAACAATACATCCATCCCGGAAATAACAAGTCACTCATGAATTCTCTTGTAGTACCGGACAGAGTTGTTTGGACAAGCAGGACTTCGACTGGAATTTGTGGAGCCTTCTGACGGAGGGGTCTATGAACTGTTTACCGTGTTTTCCGACGGAACGTCACAAACAAACAATATATCTGTCCAGGGTAAGCTAGTGTCTACACTGACACATTTATGCCGTTTATAATATTCCCGACATCGTATGTGCAGTTGTGTGTACACATGCGTGCATGTTTATGCACGTCCATGTGTACAGTATGTACAGGAGGAATAATGTATAATTCGTCAGCAATAAAGGTTAATGTCATTTTGCGAAGGTGTGTACTATGTATAATGAAATATTGCTTGGCGTTTGTTAAGATACGATTGTCATTGGATGGGGGATATGACAAGCTAGTTTGATTTTTGGCGACGCCTCAGGGGGGAGCCTAATGGCACAGTATTGTGTGTAGTTTGCAAGAATTCTAGGAATTGCACAGGCATTTTTTTCCACAGGCATGGCATGTCTACAGGCATGTTGATGGCACACTTGTATGGACACATTCCTACGTAGTCCTAAATTCTTGCCCACATACCCACATGCCTTTCAAGTGGAAGTTTTACATTCTTCCCACATTTCTTCCCACATGCCTTCCAAGTGGATGTCTTAGCATTCCAAGTGGAAGTCCTACATTCTTGCTCACATTCCTGTCCCACATGCCTGCCAAGTGAATGAACTACAAACTCCTAAGACATTTTAGAATTACTTCTGTGAGTACAGTCGATAGTGATCAGATGTGCTGTTGTAGTACTGGGTAGCCGCTTGTGTTGAGTGTCCGTTGGATAGGTAAGTTTGCCATATACATTATCTATGTCTAGTTGTCGAGGTCGTGATTTGGAGTTAGTTTTTTTTTTTAAGTTGCCAACACTAGTCAAAGAAGTTGCCAACACTAGTCAAAGTGTGTGTTGTTT